GCATTTACACATAAGCATCCAGTGTGTTTTTCCCCAGAAAATGGAACATAACGCAGGGAATTCTGAGACATTGCTTTCCTGCTGGCTTTTGTAACCATGCTGGAAAACCAGGGCTAACATACCCTGAAAACTGTCTTACTAAGGGCTGGACAAGCAGTAAGCACCACTGTCAAATTTGCTACACTGTGATTACCATAGAAGCTGAATGAACTGGGCAGCAAGGGCACTAAACGCTATGCAGATGCACAGCCGTGTTAGGACAGCACCTGCCTGACTCAGCAGCAGCACCATGGTACACAGAGGTGCCACACCTACGCATGCCAAGGCTCACTCAGGGAGGGCGGAAATGCTGCACAATCCTTTGGGTTCTTGTCTCCTCGCCACCCCCACTGCTGTATAACGCATTTTTCTCCCCCAAATCAGGTCCTGGAGAAGCCCCTAGAGCTTATTTAATCCTTCTGTAGGTGACACTTTATAAAGAGGAAGCAGAGTAGAAGGCTGCATTAGATGGTGCCTGCCACGGCCACCCTACTTGAAGCATCCCTTCTCATTGTCCAGAGCTGCCGACCCTGCTTGTAAGCTAACACATTTCATAGGTTCTAGCTGAATCTATGGGACCCCTGGATCAGAGACAAAGGGTTTTATTTCTCATGGTACAGTGGGCAGCATGAGCCACATAATCGCCTAAACAGTTCCCGTTGCCCCCATGTCCCTCACGGACAATGCAGAGCTTGGCCCAGGTGGACGCTGGACACACAGTGAGTCTGTAGCACAGATGAGAAAACTCGAGCTTAGGAAACCATAGTCTTATAAAGGGACTGCTGGTAAGCCTGCCTAACCTTGCCCTGGAGAAAGACATTATATGTTATCTTGGTCAGGAAACAAATCTGTCCTCTGACCTGGGGGGATGAGGGAGGGATAATATATATCTGTTTTCTAGGATTTTTCTATACAGACTCCAGTACAGAGCAAAGCTGTCAATGCCTCTTGCTCAGAAGACATGAGAAACACAAGAAACCCATGAATTGTCTCCCAACGCCTGTAGACCCTGCTTAAAGGGATGGGATACTGCAGGTCAAGAAATCCCACTCACCCCAGCCACAGCTGATTTGACTGGTGGGGGCATCAGACTCAAGGCCCATCCATTCAGAGGTTGGCCAGTGGCCAGGGGCTAAAGGTTACGCAGGCTAGCAGGTCCTCTCACTAAATTTGCCTATTTTGGTTGGGAAATAGGCAATTCCCAGTAGGAAATGGGAGATGAATTCAGCAAAAGGGTTGTACGAGGAGGGATTAAAGTTGTGAGTAGCCACGATCATGCTGAAGCGATGAGGCAGCAGAAAGTAAGAGCAACTAGAAACTACAAGTGGGAGAAGATATGCGAGAGTGGATTGGGAAGGAAGGCAACTGCAGTGGAGGGCAGGAAGCGGAGCCTCGTTACTGTGGACACTAGAACGGAGAAGCAGTCATAGCTCCTTACTTTTCATCCTCATCTGCTCCCCACACCAAAATGGGCATCCGTGGGCTTCCCTGGTGGCGCGGTGGTTGAGAGTCCGCCTGCCGATGCAGGGGACATGGGTTCGTGCCCCAGTCCGGGAAGTTCCCACATGCCGCGGAGCGGCTGGGCCCGTGAGCCATGGCCACTGGGCCTGTGCGTCCAGAGCCTGTGCTCCACGGGAGGAGAGGTCACAGCAGTGAGAGGCCCGCGTACCGCAAAAAAAAAAAAATGGGCATCCATTACAGTAACACATACACAAGCCATTACTGCAGAGAATTTGAGTGAGTCTTTAGCTGAAAAAGAACTCAGGTTATAAGGAACAGAAGAGGTGCAGAAAGATGTCGTAGGACAGTAAATTAGCTAACATTTATTGAGTGCATACTATATGCCAGGAACGTTTGTAGGTAGTTTTACATGCATTATCTTAGTTAATCCTAACAAAAATTTTTAGATGTAGACTTCTAATCTCCAAAGGGCATCGAAAGGTTGAGTAGCTGCCCACGGTCACACAGCTAGTAAGTAGGGGAGTCAGGATTCCAATCCAGTGCTCTTCACTGCTTTGTTCTGTTGCATCCTGCATAGGCAAGTGAGTTAACACTCAAGGTAAGAATAAATGAAGTAAATTTCAGCTTCAGCACTGATAGTTGTCACAGACTGACCTGCAAGTTCAATAGCCTAACCTAACATTTGGACCAAAAACTACTCTGAAGTTGGTAATTACCTTTATCAATCAGCCCAAAGAGGCTGAGAGGAGCCTAAACATATTAAATTGCTTTAGTCTCCTACCTGAAGAAAGCAAAAGATCTCAGCAGCTGCAGAAGTTTATGTTACTTTCCAATCCACTGCAGAGAGAATTCTGCCTCAATCATTCTCTTGTCAGTCCCTGTGGTCCCCACAGTACCAGTGACCATTACCCACATCTCTAAGTAAGAACAATAATGTGGTCAAGGAAGCCTGTTATTTTTCACACCGGTAGTAAGCCCTGGGTAGAAAGCAGGTTGTGATTGAATGGGGATAAATGTCAAGTCCCTACTATTCTTTACCCTAAATCTACTCCACATGGTCTTGTTCTGTCCTAATTAGTCTCTGCCCCAGATAGCTAATCCTTTTGGTTAATGAGTACCCATGGCCGCATCATCTCCAGTTACAGATACCACGGGAAGCTGGGAGAGCATTGCCCAAGCAACTTGGCAGAAGGTGTTTTACTATTCATAGACTGCTGTGCTTAGAATCAATGAAAACTTAACAATTAAATCACCAAATATTACCTCGCCTAAGGAGGAAGCAGCAGCTTGCCCATGATCGTACAACCGGAAAATGCTGGAGCTAGGACTTGAAGCCACGCCTCCTGACCATGCCCCAAACTTCTCTTGCTTTCTGGCCCAGTGTCATCCTCTGGTGAGTCAGGGCAGCAGCAAGATTAGATCAGAAATAGGTTGTATTTACCTCCAAACCTGCTCCGTGCGTAGGTCCTCATCTGCCAGCAGACAAAGTGAGAAAATAATGACAAATAAGCAGATGAAGACTTTTGCTTGTGAATTCCTGTTTTTATTCTTCCATTTGTGGACCTTTTTAAGTTAGGAAAGACTTGGGGTGAGGAGGTAGGGGGAGAGAGAGAGAGAGAGAGAGAGAGAGAGAGAAAACAGAGTGGCAGAGCGGGGAGCTAGAATGAGACAAAAAATAAAAGCAATGTCAGTGGTTCTCTGGCTTCCAGCACCTGCGGGAATTTCGCAATAGGTGTTCCGCGCTCTTGCAGAGCACAAACGTTAAACTTCTAAGGGGGTTTAAAATACAAATGTCACGAGTTTAAAAAATAAATTTTAATAACATTGCAAAAATACCCGAGAAATTGAAAGAACATATAGCAAATCCCTATATACCCATTATCTGTCTGCAGTGGATTTGACAACTTAAGAACTATTAACATTTTACCACATTGACAAAAAATGCTCATATGTATATTTATGTATAGTAGTCGTTCCTTTTCCTCAAAAAAGGGCTGCATCCCTGGGAAAGTTGTTTTGACTTCAACCTCCGCTACCTGATTCATTCTCAGAGGCCCTTCTAAAACCACATATGTCTCCCACCATCAAGGATCATAAACAGGCTTTGCCTAACTTGTCAACTCTGAGCAGTTTGCTGGAGAGAGTACAGTTGAATCCAGGGTCAGAGAGAGAGAGTGCCACGACTGGGAAGGTATGTCCAGCTCCAGTATGGGAGGGGAGGCTTAGGGGCTGAGAGCCGTGCTTGCTCCTAGCTCTACCCCACTATGCCCTGCGCCACCTCCCCCCGTCCACCACAGCCCTCTCTGTTCACTGCGGGATGTGCCACAGCTGTTCAGCCCAGCAGCTAGATAAGCTTCCTACCCTGCGAGCTTTGAGAGACTGCGCTGTTGTAATGCTCTGCTCTCAAATCACTGTAATAAAAGCTGAACTGCACTGCATTCAGGAAGACATGTCTTAAAGGAATTAGTTTATCCTTCTCTGGTTAACTCCCTCTGCAGAAAATTCTACCTCTAACCTCTGGCCTGCTTTCCACCGTAGTCCCTCCCTGGAAAGACTGTGGAAGACCTCATGCATGGGAAGCAGTGTTTCTTCCGCTCCAGGCAGGAGGTGAGGTGCATTTCATCTCTTGTAGACTGGAGCCTAGCCTGCCTTTGCGTTTCTGACAGCTTGCTTTGCAGGAAGCCCTTTATTACAATGAAAGTACAGGGTGAAATTTTGAGCTTTTTAAGGATAACACTGATTAATCATCCCTAGGAACTGGTGATTGCTTCGTGGTCCTGAAGTAGGAAACCTGCTGGGTAAAAAAAAAAATCACATTGAAGGGAACACTCTGTCTTGTAAATTGAGTAATAGCATTCTCTGGTGTTAAAAGTAAGAGATGATGTACACAGAAGTGAGGATAAGCTTCATTGCACCCAAGGAGAATATTTTTTCTTTTCAAATGGAAATACAAATTTCAGGTTGTTCTGTGTAGACTTTCTTGACCCTGAGAAGAGGGAAGATGAGGGAATATTTACATAATCCAAGTTACAAGGGAAGAGAAAAACACCTCAATCCTGCTTGTTACTCCTGAGGTGAGAGGCACTAGCTTTTTCTACTCTTTTCTCTCCCTCCTTCCGTCCTCCCCTTCCTTCTTTTACTTCATCAGCCAGATTGGCTCAGTTGAAATCCTAAATCCAACCATTTACCAGCTGCGCAATCTTGGGCAGTTTACTTGACCTCCACGTGTGTTGCCTCATCTATACATCAGGGATAGATAGTATTTCTCTTGTAAGGTGGTCATGAGAGTTCACTGAGTCAGTACAGTGATAACTCGAGTCTGGTCAGGCCCCTAATAACTTTTAGGGCGGAACACTTCTTCCCCACTCCCCATGTTTCCCTCCATGGGGCGGGAACTCCGCTGCTGGGACACTCCCAACCTCTCTCGCTCTCATTTGCTGGGCAGTGGCTTAATCCGGTTAGAATTAGGGCGAGTAAACCGGCGTGCTTGTCTCAGCTTCTCTTCATCTCTTGGAAGTGAGTAGTCGCCTCTGCCCTTCCGAGGGCAGTCCTCGTACGAGACTGGCTCTGGCCCAGCGCTGTAACGGCGGCGCCATCAGGCTAATCCCAGACTCCCTAGTGAGACGCGCAGCGCGGCGCTTTGCGGCAAGTGAGGGTCCTGCGCCTTGGCGTTGCTTCCTCAAGGCGTTCCTGGTCCCCCTCCAGGGCCTGGGTCTGGCTGGACAGGCCGTGACGTCTGGGCAGGTATCCCTGTGAACCCCAGACCCGGCATTTGCTCCCTCACCCTCTACATGCAAGTGGGCACAATGAGCCGTGGCCCGGCTCTGGTCCCAGGAGCATGAGCTGGCCAGCAACTTTCTCCCGCTAACAATATTTCTTTTGAAAAGTGGACAAGATTAGGCCGCCGGAATCATGCTGATCCGCAGTGCTTCTCATTCACATCAGAAAGGGAGCAAGTTCAGTCTTGGCTTGAGCTGCATGTGTGGACCTGTGTCACTGAAGCCGCCTGTTCTATGGCACTTAAGGTGGGGGCCAGCAGGTGTCCTTCACCCTGTTCCACTCCCACCACTGGCACCCAGGGCAGTCACCCACCCCCAGCAGGTCGTCTCTGGGGTGGCAGTGCCATCTCCTCTGAGGACACTGGAGACCATTGCCCCACCACACCAGTGGGACCCTTTCCACCTGTGTCTCCTGCCTCCAAGTTGTGGTGACCTCGTGGTGCTCTCACAGGTTGGTCTTAAACTGTGCTGGATGAGGGAGGGATCAGCATTTCTTGTGCGGAAGGAGCTGCTCTCTCCCGCCATCTGACACCCCTTCTCCCTGTTGATGGTGTGGAAGAGGTCTACATGGAAAGAGATCACATTCGAGGAATGAAGTGATTGCAGCCTAAGGAGTTCAAGAGGATGTAGTTGGAAGATACGCTGTTCTGTTTATGCCATAAAATTCAGAACAGTACATTTAACATATCTAGAAGATGAATTATTGTTCCCATTTTCCTGCCTACTCTGGATAAGACTTGCATATGTGGTCATCACCAATGAAGCACAATAACAACCTTTGATGGAGTCTTTGGAAGCCGGTATCCACAGGCCACACTTTGAGCAATACAGTGGCATCAGGAGTAATGATGTAACCAGCATTAAATAATGGAAGGAGGAACGTGTAGAGGCAAGAAGACCTATGTTTCAATACAAACAGGTTCTGAAAGCCATGGCCTCAAGAGTAATAATGCTATTGCTATCATTTCCTCCTTATGGGCGATATGAAATTAGCCAGGAACGTTTCATATGATAATAAAGAACATGAATAAATGGCTCCTGAACCTGGACAGGAAGAAATCGTGCCTGCATAGTATGAAAAATATTCACATGCACTGATGGATAATAAACAAATATGTAAGTACATCTTCTTTTCTCATTATTGGTTCTAAATCTTGATTGATGAATCACAGTACCTCACATGGGTCCATGAGTTTTATAATATATTTTTAATCAAATTATTTATCTAGACAAGGGCCCAACAAAAATATTTTTGGAGCCTTGCACACCTTAGGGGTTGTCCTGGAGAAAAGCATTTGCTCATAGAAAAAACCTATTCCCCCGTCTTACCTTTATAAGTAACAAAGGTGCTATTTTGGCCACTAACTGCAACCCTTTTGTCTTATTCCTCAGTTTGTTTAGAATTTGGTCAGGAAAGAGGGGTGCTATTTATTCAAGCCCTCTCAAAGTCCTCAATAGTAAGCACTCCAAGTTAGTTATTATCATTTTTTAAGCATTCAGGTTACATTTTGTTAATATTGAGGTAAAACTGACGTATAACATTATATTAGTTTCAGGTATACAACATAATGATTCAGTGTATATATGTATTACAAAATGATCACCACAATAAGTCTAAACATCCGTCATCACACATAGTTACAAATTTTTTTCCTTGTGATGAGGACTCTTAATGTTTGCAAATATTTTCTCCCATTCAGTACATTGTCTTTTCATTTTGTTGATGCAAAGACTTTTTTTTTTTTTGCGGCGGCTTTTTGGTTTGACATAGTCCCACTTGTTTATTTTTGCTTTGTTGCTTTTGCTTTTGGAGTCAGATCTAAAAAATCATTGCTAAAACTGAGTCAAGGAGCTGACCGCTTATGTTTCTTCTAGGAGTTTTATGGTTCCAGTTCTTACACTCAAGTCTTTAATCCATTTTGAGTTAATTTTTGTGTACAGTGTAAGATAATGGTCTAGTTTCATTCTTTTGCATGTGGCTGTCCAGTGTTCCCAACACCATTTATTGAAGAGACTGTCCTTTCCATTTGTATATTTTTGGCTCTTTTATCATAAATTAATTGACCATGTATGCATGAGTTTATTTCTGGGCTCTCTATTCTGTTCCATTGATCTATTCATGTGTTTTTATGCAAATAAAATACAGTTTTGATTACTTTAGCTTTGTAATATAGTTTGAAGTTAGGGAGCATTATGCTGCCTCCTTTGCTCTTCTTTCTCAAGATTGCTTTAGCTATTCAGGGTCTTTTGTGGTTCCGTAAAAATCTTAGGATTGTTTGTTCTATTTCTATGAAAAATGCCATTGGAATTTTGATAGGGATTGCATTGAATCTCTATATTTCTTTGAGTAGTGTGGACATTTTAACACTATTAATTCTTTTTTTTAAACATCTTTATTGGAGTATAATTGCTTTACATTGTTGTGTTAGTTTCTGCTGTATAACAAAGTAAATCAGCTACACGTATACTTATATCCCCATATCCCCTCCCTCTTGCGTCTCCCTCCCACCATCCCTATCCCACCCCTCTAGGTGGTCACAAAGCACCGAGCTGATCTCCCTGTGCTATGTGGCTGCTTTCCACTAGCTATCTGTTTTACATTTGATAGTGTATATATGTCAGTGCCACTCTCTCACTTCGTCCCAGTTTACCCTTCCCCTCCCTGTGTCCTTAAGTCCATTCTCTACATCTGCATGTTTTTTCCTGTCCTGCCCCTATGTTCTTCAGAACTATTTTTTTTTTTAGATTCCATATATATAACACTATTGATTCTTACTATTCATGATCATGGATGTCTTTTCATTTATTTGTGTCTTCTTCAACTTTTTTCATCAATGTTTATAGTTTTTAGTGTACACCTCCTTGGTTAAATTTATTCCTAGCTATTTTATTCTTTTCAATGCAATTCTAGATGGCATTATTTTCCTAATTTTTCCTCCTGATAGTCTTTGTATATTGATTTTGTATCTTGCAACTTTATCATTGATTAGTTCTAACAGTTTTTGGTGAAGTCTATAAGGTTTTCTATATGTATTATTATGTAATCTGTAAATAATGACAGTTTTACTTTTTCCTTTCTGATTTGGATGCCTTTTATTTCTTTTTCTTGCCTAATTGCTCTGGCTAGGACTTTCAGTACTATGTTGAGTAACAGTAGCGAGAATGGGCATCCTTGTCTTATTTCTGATTTTAGAAGAAAAGCTTGCAGCTTTTTACCATTGAGTAAGGTGTTAGCTGTGGGCTTGTCAAAAATGGCCTTTATTATGTTGAGATACATTCCCTCTATAACTACCTTACTGAGAGTTTTTATCATAAGTGAATATTGAATTTTGTCAAATGCTTTTTCTTCATCAATTGAGATGATTATATGGGTTTTAAGCCTTCATTTTGTTAATGTGGTGTGTCATGTTGATTGATTTATGAATGTTGAACCATCCTTGTATCCCTGGAATAAATCTCATTTGATCATGGTGCATGATTCTTTTAATGTACTGTTGAATTTGGTTTGCTAATATTTTGTTGAGAATTTTGGTGTCTATATTCATTTGGGATATTGGCCTATAATTGTCTTTTCTTGTATTTTTTTTCTGGTTTTGGTATCAGGATAATGCTGTTTTCATTAAATGAGTTTGGAAGTGTTTTCTTTTCTCTCTCTTTTTTTTTTTCTTGGAAGAGTTTGAGAAGGTTTGGTATTAATTCTACCTTGAATGTTTGGTGGAATCCCCCAGTGAAGCCATCAGGTTCTGGACTTTTGTTTGTTGAGAGATTTTTGTTTATCAATTCAGTTTCCTTTCTAGTAATCATTCTATTTAGCTTTTCCATTTCCTTATAATTCAGTCTTGGAAGGTTGTATGTTTCTAGGAATTTATCCATTTCTTCCAGGTTGTCCAATTTGTTGACATATAATTATTTATAGAAGTCTCTTATGATTCCTTGTATTTCTGTGTATCAGTTGTAACATCTCCTGTTTTGTATGTGATTTTTACTTATTTGAGTCCTCTGCCTTTTTCTCTTGATGAGTCTAGCTAAAGGTTTGTCAATTTTGTTTATCGTTAAAAGAACCAGTTCTTAGTTTCATTGATCTTTTCTCTTGTCTTTTTAGTCCCTATTTCATTTATTTTCACTCTGTTATATCCTTCCTTCTACTAATTTAGGTCTTTGTTCTTTTTTTTCTAGTTACCTGAGATGTAAACTTCATTTATTTGAGGTTATTTTTATTTCTTAAGGTAGATACTTACTGCCGTGAACTCTCTTAGAACTGCTTTTGCTGCATCCCACAAATTTTGGTATGTTGTATTTCCATTTTCATTTGTCTAGAGGTATTTTTTTATTTCTCCATTGACCCATTAGTTGCCCAGTAGCATGTTGTTTAATCTCCACATATTTGTGAAATTTCCAGTTTTTTCTTGTAATTGATTTATTGTTTCATGTCACTGTGATCAGAAAAGATGCTTGATATAATTTCAGTCTTTTTAAATATGTTAAGACTTGTTTTGTGGCCAAACATATGATCTATCCTTGAGAATATTCCATGTTTAGATTGAGAATATGTAATCTTGAGAATATGAAATCTGCTTCTTTTGGTTGAAATGTTCTGTATGTATCTATTAAGTTTAATGTGTCGTTTAAGACTGATATCTATTCATTGATGTAAGTGGGGTATTAAAGTCCCTTATTATTATTGTATTGCTGTCCATTTCTTCCTTTAGGTCTATTAATATTTGCTTTATATATTTAAGTGCTCATATATTGAGTGCATAAATATTTGCAAATGTTATATCCTCTTGTTGGATTGACCCCTTTATCATATGTAATGCCCTCCTTTGTCTGTGATTACAGTCTTTGTTTTAAAGTCTGTTTTGTTAGATGTAAGTATAGCCACCCCAACTTTCTTTTGGCTTCCATTTTCTTGGAATATCCTTTTCCGTCTCTTCGCTTTTAGTCTGTGTGTGCCCTTACATCTGATATAAGACTGTTATAGGCAGCATATGGATGGGTCTTATTTTTTTAATCCATTCAGCCACTCTATGTCTTTTGATTGAAGAATTTAATCCATTTTTTAAATGTAATTATTGATAGATATGTACTTATCCATGTTTAAAATTGTTTTCTGTTTTTTTATTCTTCTCTTGCTCTTTTCCCCTGTGGTTTGATGACTTTCTTTAGTGGTATGCTTCGATTCCTTTCTCATTATCTTTTGTGCATCTACTATAGATTTTTGCTTCGTGGTTACCATGAGGCTTACATATAACAACATATATTTATAACAGTATATTTTAAATTGATAACAGCTTAAGTCTGAACACATTCCAAATCTCTACATTTTTCTCTCCCCTACCACATTTGATGTTTTAGATGTCAGATTTTACATCTTTTTATCTCATGTATCCCTTAATTATTATAGTTATTTTTACTACTTTGTCTTTTAATTTTCATACTAGTTTTATAAGTGATTAATCCACTACCTTCACTATATATTTACTTTTACCAGTCAGATTTATAGTTTCATATGTTTTCTTGTTATTAATTAGTGTCCTTTCTTTTCACCTTAGAGAAGTACTTTAACATTTCTTTTCAGGTAGGTTTAGTGGTGATGAACTCCTTTAGCTTTTGATAGTCTGAAAACTCTTTATCTGTCCTTCAATTCTGAATAATTTTTCCAGCTAGAGTATTCTTGGTTGGAAGTGTTTTTCTTTCAGCACTTTAAATATATCATGCTTTCTGGTCTGCAAAGTTTCTGCTGAAAAATCTGTTAATAGTCTTATGGGGGTCCCCTTGCACATAACAAGTTGCTTTCCTCTTGCAGCTTTTAAGATTCTCTTCTTGTCTTTAACTTTTTAAATTTTAATTATAATTTGTCTTGGGTCTCTTTGGATTCATCTTATTTGGACCTCTGTGGGCTTTCTGGATCTGGATATGTTTCCTTCCCCGGTTAGGGACTTTTTCAGCCATTGTTTTTTCAGATAAGTTTTCTGCCCCTTTCTCTCTTCTGCTGGGAGCCCCATAAAGCAGATATTAATCTGTCTGATGTTGTTCCATAAGTCCCTTAAGCTATCTTCACTTTTTAAAATTCTTTTTCTTTTTTGCTGCTCTGATTGGGTGAGTTCCATTGCCCT